GTCCAGAAGGGAAAGTCCAAAAGAAAAAATTTTTGTAAATCACGATAAAACCGTTTTTAAGTGTTTTTACGGGTTTAAGGGTTCCGCATCTCAAAAGGAAAATCGGAATCCTTATAAGATCATTCACGTACTGAATCATTACATTATTACTATAAAGTGTTTGTTAGATAAAAGTTGGTTTACAATATAATCCGCCACATCAGATTCGCTGTATCAAAAATCCACCATTGTAAATTTTGATTTTTTCATCACTTGTAATATGCATATTTATACTTTGTATATCTATAAAAATGAGATATAATATAAATATAATATAAATTTCTATACTTGACCAGTATACTGGCCAGTCCCGTCCTCAAAAGATTAAGGGCTTTACACATGAAATGCAACAGATGCATAAAGCCCATGGCATATACAAAAACGTAAGGCCGTAAGATGTAATCAATAAGCGAATTGCCCAATCACGATAGAGATCGTAAAGCCAGTAGCGAATCCAATCTTACGATTTTTTTACTGATTACGTCTATGTGCTCTCAGCTTAAGACTGCTGGACCAATGACTATCTAGTATAATGTCGCCATATTGATTTACATAAGATGCTCATTGGTTTAGTGACCTTATGTTATGCTTATTCTCTGTTATGCATTTTATGTGTGAAGTCCTTTAGGTTCATTACCTCCAAATTATGACATAAGCTGCATAAGTATAACATAAGACTGGACTAAGTCCGGATGTATAGGTATTTTAAGCCTTATGCCGTAAGAAATTGTCCAATTACAGTTGAATGCGAGAAGAATAATCGACTATGATGCGTCCATTTCTTATGGCTTAGAATTTAAAAACTTATCGTAGGTCCGAGCTAATGAATCGAGCTTATACAAATCAATAATGGCATCCTTTTTTTAATCAGATGCTTATTGATTTAGCAGCTTTATGCTATGCTTATATAGCTTATGTCATGTTGTGTATGATATGGTCCTAATTTTACAAGAACTCGATGTTGTTTGTTTATGTAAATTACTAGTAAATCTACAATTTTTGTACAAGAAATTGTAGATTTAGTTAGATTTAGTTCGACTAGTAATTTACATGAACAAACAACATACAGGACTACAATTTCTTGTACAGATTACAAAACTCTTATATGTTATCACGATGTTAACAGTGCTCTAGATGTCACCTTTGTGACTCTGGCACCCGACTTTTCATAAATTAAATTTTTCTATTAAAAAAATGATGGTATTTTGTTTGTAGTAAGTTGAGTGTAATAACAATAGTTTCGTTTAAAGTTTTATATAATAAAAAATAAAAAAATTTTTTAAAATTTTTTAAAAATCTGTCACTTGATTTTAAGATAAAAAAATTGCTAATATATCTAGATTCAGAATTGTTTGTAGTTGTTTGTAGTGATTTTCCGGTCGTTTGTAGTTTTACCGTTTAGAAAGTTTACAATAAATTTACAGCAATAAAGTTTACAACAAATTTACAATAAACAAATTACATAATTTGTTGTAATTTGTTTATTGTAAATTTGTTGCAACTTTTAAACGGTGCAACTACAAACGACCGGAAAGTCATTACAAACAACTACAAACGATTCTGAATCAAGATGTATTAACAATTTTTTTTTCTTAAAATCGGGTGTTATTTAAAAAAAAATTTTTATTTTTTATTATATAAAACTGCAAACGAAACTATTGTTACTACAAATGAAGTACTATAATTTTTTTATAAAAAAATTTAATTTATAAAAAGTCGAGTGTCAGGTTCACAAAGGTCTAGATGTCATATTATATTGGATTAAGAAAAGATCTTAATTGATAAAGATCTCAATTTCAAAATTTTTTTCCGTTTTTGGTATAAACTTGACCTCACAGACACGTATTAATGCTTCAATAATTCTGAAAAAGAATTTTCAAATCTGTAAAAGAAAAGAAATTAAGACACAAAAATTATTGCATTTAGTCGGTATAACAGACGACTTATAAAATCTTTAATCGTTTATTGAAAATTACATAAATATTATATCAAATGTACATACAAATAAGGAACAAATAAGAAATTTAATCTGCACAATATTTATTTTTTTATTATTTTAGGTGTTTTGTAATCTGGATTTGTTTTTTACAGCTCAACATAGTTGTATATCACTGCGCGTATATCGTGCGTCAATAAGTATTAAGATATTCATTCATATTTGGTTTAAATTTGAAATAATAAATCTTTATAATTATCATATAAGAAGTACATATAATTAAAAATATGAATTAAAAGGCATTAGAAATATTACAAGTAGATATAACAATTTATAGATCCATTGCTTTTCAACATAAATGTTTTATAATAGATTTTATATTTATTTAATTCTACACTGAAAGAAAAACTTGGCTACTGCAATTAAGATAATAAAATATAGCATAACATTTTTAATTGGCTGCAACTATAATACTAATTTTTAGTTGCAGTAATCAATTTTCAGTATGTTAGCCATCCACAATCATGTCAATATACGATTTCGTTAGGCTAATGCAGCCAAAAATTGATTGTTACAGTCAATTAAAGACTACAGTTCACTTGAGGCTATAAATGTTTCAAAGCATTTTTTGATCTGTCAATTAGTGAAATTCTTTTTTCTGATTGGTCAGTCAAATGCTTCCGTTTGGACTATCAAAAATGCTATGCCATATTTAGCCAAATTTTTCTTTCAATGTAGAATATGGAAGAATTTATTTGATGATTTTCATATGAGGATGCAAACATATATTTTTTAATGCAGTGAACAAAACAAATTAAATTAATTGATAAAGTATAATATCGATTGGAAAATATATTTTTGCTTATTTAAATAATATATATACTATATAATAATATATGTTCTAATTAATAAATTAGAAAATGTAATCAATTATAATATATATATATTATATATATATATTATATATATATATTATATATGTTAT